AATCTAGACTATATAATGTGGCATGAAGACTCGAATAAGAACTCTAGCCTACAAATAAATATTATTTTTCATTAGACTAAACCCCGTCGTCAGTCGTGACTTTAAAAATGGCCGAATGTCAATGAATATTGTAACTGATGATAGACGTGAGTCCACATGTTGTTGACACGCACACTAAAAAACTAAGTTGAAATGATTTGTAAACATTAGCTAGGTCACACACTCATGCATATATATAATGCAACTATCTTGGGCTCAATCATGAGTCATGACCTATAGCTAGCTAGAAAACTGGGGTTGTTATAATGACCAAGGAAATGTTGAACATAAACAAATGGCGGGTGGGGGACTTGAGGCAGCTGGTTTTGGGCCCATCAAGTTAAATGTGGAAAATACTTATATACGTGACCTCACATGACATCTCTGCAATACCGATCGAACCCCGAATACCATCTTGATCCAGGCAGATCCGGACAGACAGACAGACAGGCATTTGAATTTTATTTTGAAAGCTCTCGTTAATTTAGGATTTGCATATCCCACAAATATCTTCAGGGCCGTGGGCCACCACTTGCATAGGCCGCTGGCCTCACTTGTGCTGTGCATAATAAGCCCTTGACAAATGCCCACAACACCAACGACTAGATCAATTTTTTATTTCAATTATAAAAAAATATACAATGATAGAGTAATTGATGGATACATATGAATTTTATGCGAGTTGGTTAAGGCAGTGTGACTTGCAACCCCTTTGAATCGAGTTTGATTCATATTCCCGTACATTAAGAGTAGTTAGAATATCGCTTTGTGAAAAAAAAATTGGTATGCTTTGTCATAGCTTAGTCAATAGTTTGGCGTTCTTTTGTGTTCCTGGGCCTTGCTTGCTATAGGTCACGTATAATTTGGGCTTTTGAACCCGTTTGCGTTCTTGTGATGACTAAATAATTAGTGATTTGGCTTAACTACTAATTAATGCTGGATTCATGCATTCTGAATCTGAATGAAAGAATTAATGCAAAATATTTATTCGAAGTGTTTTGCTGCATTTCTTTCTTTGATCGTGACATGCACGAACTAGACATGCACATGCCTTTAATGGGTTGACTTATCTTAATGCTTGGAAAGGAAAATGAATCAGAAAATGAAAATGTTTTCGCTCCTTTAAATGGACTTTGTATTAATCTATCACGAACTTAGGAGATAACCATGGAAACTTGTCACATTTTCATCATAATTAAAATATCAGAAAGAATAATTAAAATGCACCAAACACTGAGAAAATAAATGTTGACTTTTGTGACCAAGAGAAAGCACTATCGTATCGTGCATGCCAAACCAGACAAGCATGTCTCCACATCCCTGCTATCGTGCATGCCCCAGCAATTTCACCCTTTCTATTGTGAGCATAAGAACAATTGCCCGAGCAACTTTCACAAAAACCGCAAGCATTAAGGTAGTGAAATAAAATAGAAAAGGACAATCCTCCAAATCTGATCTTCTAATGGAAATAAAATCAGAAATGGTACGAATGCCTCCATCTTATCTCTAATTCTTTATCTAGCTTTGGAGCAAAACAATGGACTTTACAAAAGAGGTTAGAAGGATAAGATTGATTGACCCACATCATACTCTATCCAAACCAACCAATTGAAATTCGTCTTTCAAGTCATTCCCCCATTCACCATCACGCACTGGGTGAAGTTACTATTTTCAGAACCCATTAGGGCATATAGCACTCATTTTGTGTACCAAAAATTAAATAAAAATTACTTCTTAGTTTTACTCCATCCATATTCTTTTTTTTCTTCTTACTAAAGTCCCACATTTGGCATGTCTCTCTAAAAATCTAAGCGATCAGGCAAAGGACTCAACTAATGTAGTAGTTTGGAGCAAATGCTCCTCCAGAAAAGATTTTGGCTTCGGTTCCTAACACCTGTGTAGTGTGTGTGGGTTTAGTATGTTATCACCCATCTCAAAAGAAAATGTCCTAAAATAAAATATGTATAAAAATCATACGATCAGTTACACATGATAATGCTATCATTAAGGAACTTTGCAACTTGATTTTCGACTTCCTATATATGTAAGTATATAAATGAATTTTGATTTCGATATTTTGTAATGATGAGAGAGTTTTCTTTTACAAAACTTTCTTTTTTATTCTTTCGTTTGTTTTTGCTAAATATTTATATTTGTAGGATTGATTAATATACTCTCAACAAAACTATACCACTGCAATAAGCTAGCGACAATTAGATATCAAATTCAACATAAATACGTATCGTCTTAATCATTCATATAAATCGAAGTTGAAATTTCTTCTAACCAATTGAAGACAAATACCACTAAACGGTGTTTTGTTTTTCTTGTTCACTATCAAAGCTTTTGCGAAGGAAAAAATCAAAAGATTTTTTGGTGACAAAAGTCAGTGAATGATGTGAGGAGGGTTGTGTGTCTCCACGAGAGAGCATAGTTGGAGGGAGGCCCATAACACCTGCGGCCGCGTGGCGTGCTTTGAGTAGCGGGAAGCGTTCGCATTGGTTGGCTACCCGGTGACGCCAGGAAAACCTGAAGCTCGTGTTGGGTTAGCGCGGGGTACGTGTCGACCGTTAGAAAGGCCTAACTCTATGCCCGAATCTTACCTCACAACATTCAACGTTAACTCTGATGGGACTCCGTTACGTCGCTTTTCTTCTCACGTTCGATTGACACAAACACCCACGGCGATCTTCTGAAATTACAGAATTGCCAACTTTTTCAAATCGAAGATCCAATAATTTTTTGAATTAGATGATAGCTTTTTGTTTTTGTTGCTACAAGTAGAACGCTTCATAAGAAAAAGGCACCTGGTGCATATACCTGGTGTACAAAATTGGAAATTAGAAATATTTCCTTTAAATATCTGATGCTCGATGCATATACTCGATGCACATAACTTAAGAAGATGTATAAATAACTGCTCTTTATCGCTTGAACTACAAGTCCCTTATGCGATAATTTATGTTATGACATTGCTCATGTGTTGAGCATGTATGAGAAGTTATTCTAACATATATTGTTTGTGTCGATGAAGGGTGGCATGAGATCGTATTGTTGAGCATATAGGGGACCTTGATATTGTTGGGTGATTAATTAGGGGTGACTTTTGATGCTTTGGGATTGGAGGTTTATTAATTTGATGTCAAGAAAAATGAATCTGTAAAAGACAAATATCATATGCACAATAATAATATTACTGATGGGAAACATGTCGTGCAGGACTCAAATTCTTTCGTGATTGGATCATGCATGCATGTGTCAAAAACTAAACCCACATGTTACAGAAATAAACACATCATAATAAAATAAGGTAAATATTCTTACATCAATACATCATGCTTTACAGCTTGATAACGGATTGCCTGCATCATAATTCATAGATATTGGATGAGAGGACAGCGTTGAAGATCCAACATATAGGAATGAATCTGGTGTGACAGCCTCCATGAAAATGTAAGGTATATAATATAATAAAGGTTATAAATATAAGATCTCGTTTTCCTTCCTTCAACTACAACGACTTTTAGTACCCAAAAACAAAGGAAGAAAAAAAGAGTTATTTACACTAACATCTTATCATATTTTCGATTTTTTTACAAAACTCCTAAGGTTTAAAAATTACACGAACAACCTCTCAAGTTTCAAATTGTTTTCACAAAACTCATTTTCATTGATTGTTCGTCCAAAACTTGGTGATTTCATTTTAAAAAAACGTGGGCAAATGACAAAATCAATCTCAATAAATATATGTGCAATCTAATCTAAACTTGGTGATTTTTTTATATATAAAATCATCAATCTTTAAACGAAAAATCAACAAAAAGGGGTTCTAGGAAAATAATTTAAAACCTCAGGGGGTTTTGTGAAAAAATAAAAAATAAAAATCGAAAACTTAAGGGTGTGTTAGTGTAAATAAGTCAAAAAAATAATATATATTATATGTGACAAGACTTTTATTGTTTTCATAATTCTTATCCTGAAATGTGAACTTAATTTCAGACAGCTGGGTTTTTTTCTCTACAATTAATAGTTTCTTCCAAAGCTCATTTTCAACCAAAGCTTCCATGATTTCGATATGTCAACTTCATATTTCATTTCATTCCACATCTTCCATGATTTGGTTGAACATAACTTGACTAAGTAAGCAAGGATTAGTCAAATAATCATGGAAGTAATAGTTCATTTGCTAATCACTCACTCGGCATCATCGGTCACATTACCCATCTGAATAAATGGTTATTAGAGAAATTTTATTTGTAATTAGCTGTTAAACACTGTCTGCAACATACAAAATTATACCATGAAATAATTAGGCCTTCTTGAGCATTGTCAAATATATGAATACAAAACTTCACATCGTTTTAAGTCAAAGTTAACCGCAGATGTTGAAATTTTAATCTAAGCTAACCCTAGCTAGGCCAATGATTTACATGGAACTCAACTGCATGTTCATTTATCAAAACCCTCCGTGTGTTTGAGGGCGACATGCACGTGTGTGTAGAGAGAGAGAGAGAGAGAGAGAGAGAATGTCAACACCACATTTACCTGAGCCCCACACCAGAAGTTGAAACTCCAAACTCATGATGTAACTAAAGGTACAAAGTTTTTAAAGAGTAAAAAACAGAAAAGAAAATCATTTCCACCAACTGAATCTCATTCTCATATGTCACCAATATTGTACTGGAGCACATTCACAAGAATGAGGCCAATATATGATATAATTAAATAGGAATACACGATATAATTTCTTACAGTACATAACAGATGCTTCACTTTCATTCAGTTTTTGATTTGGATTCAGAAAATCTATACACAGACCCACCCCACAATATTCAATTTCTTACCATCAATATTCAAACTCACAACAATAATACTGGAAGCAGAAGCAGAAGCAGAAGCTGCTTTTTCTCTTCTTTCACTACTCATTCAATCTCATATATAATGCTTGCTATTTGAAATTTTTAATAACTCCAAAAATTATCCAGGTCCACTGCAACAGCTGCTGCTGCTGGGGCCTCTTGATCACCAAATGGCCTCCTTCCCATCTCAAGATTGGACATGACAGAAGAGATTTCAGTGTTCATTTCACTTGTTAGCCCTGTCTCTTGGGACACACTGACCATTTCCCCTTCTGTTTTGAAGCTCTGCCTCATGTTTGAACCATTGTTTTCAAGCAAGGCCCTCAGAATGGACTGGTTTTGCATTAAAACTGAACCTGGGAACGGGAAATTTGCTTCAACTGGAGCAGACTGAGCAGAGTAGAATGAGTTGGAAAATGGGGCTCTTGGGAAAAAGTTGGAGCTGTTTGAAGAAACACCAAAAAAAGGGTTGTTCACATAATCAACAATCCCTTGGTTTCTTTGAACATCAGTGGGATCAGGGTTGGAGAAGCAGGGCACGTAAGAGGACTCAGAGGCGAGTTTGGTTTTGGAGCTGTAAGGTGAAGAATCCATTAACGGTGGCAGACCAGAAGGACCCATTTCATTTCCCACAGCACCATATCTCACAAATCCTGAAATATGGGTTTTTTTGCCACCAGAGTTTTTCTCAAAAACCCTGCAAATCACCCATTCATTCTGCAAAAAAGACACAATATATTTCCATTAGCATCAAAATACATGAACAAATAAAGAGAGTTAAAAACAAGGGAAAACAGAGGAAAAGCAAATACCTTTGCAGTTTTGGGGAGGTTATGAACAGAGAATTTACCCTCCAATCTGTACTCATGCATGACCCAATTGCTCTTTTCTCCTTTGGGGGCTCTGCCTCTGTAGAAAACCAAGGTCTTTTTCATGCCAACTAGGGATTTTCCTTTGTAGATCTCTTTATCTTTCCCTGTGGCTTTCCAATATCCAGCTTCAGTTGCCCTGTTTGTCCTCAGACCAGTTGGGTACTTTCTGTCTCTCACACAGAAAAAGTACCATTCCTTTTCTCCCATTTTCGCTTTCCCTTCATCCAGAAACCAAAAAGAAAGTAAATCAAATCAATATAAAGCAAATTCCAACCATTTGCAGACATTAAAACAGATTGTGTTTCAGAAGAAGCTTACCAGGCAAATCCCAAGGTTCAGACTTGTTCAAGTCCACCTCCCCTATTGCTTTACAAGAGAAGCTGATATAAATAACCTTCTTATGCAGGTAATGAGAAATAAGCTCTTCATCGGTCGGGTGGAACCGAAACCCCGGTGGCAAATCGATCTGCTCATCTTGCTCAGCCATTCCAGCTGGAACGTTTTCCATTAATTCCCTGTTTTTTCCCTAAAACCCCAATGAATTTTTGTGCCTAAAACCCCTGTTTCAGAATCTTGGTTTTGATCAACAAAGCATAGTTTTCACAAACCACCCTCAAAACACAACTTAGAATCTCTCAAGCTTCAATGGGTACAAACCAAACACAGCTTCTCAACTCCCCAAAATTCCAAGACACTTTATTTATAGAGAAAAAACAGAACCCAGAAAGATTCAAACAAAAAAGTAAGTTTCCAAGGAGCAAAAGAGAAAAGCTCAAGGAAAAGGGATAGGTAAGTGGAAAGAAGAGGAAGGGACACAGAGGAAAAGAAAAGAAGCCATGGAACAAGTTGAGAGAGCTGGAAGATGGATCAGATGGATGAGGTGTTAAGAGAAAAAAAGCAGTGTGAGAAACAGAAGCCCCTAAATACTGGTGTTTCGGAAGAGAAAGAAACGTGGAATGGAAGGCAACTTAGGTAGGTCGTTTTAGCTTTCTCTTCAACTCTCTCTGTAATAATTCCTCCCTTCTGCCCCCCTTAAAAATTTGACCATGAACAACACCATCCAAATACTGTGCATGATTTTTTTAATTATATCACTAATTATAATATGTTTCAGTTTTGTCAATACCATATTCTGGATTGATTATTAATTAATTATATTTTAAGTTCAACCAATTATATTCATTCTGTGAGAGGGTGGATAGGACTCTGATGTTATTGGATGGTGTTTGTTTTATTTGTATACACCTGAATCATCGGCACACACGTCATAAAGAGTTCGAAGAAGCTCATAATAATATATATAATCCGTGTTTTTTTTTGGTTCAAAATAAATAAAATTAGAGGCTTTATGAAAATAAATACTATATTTTTATGCCAAAATAAATATAGTGAGAACAGCTGTGGCAAATGCATGGAAGATTACGGAAGTTTTGCTGTGTCCAGCTCTCAAAAATTAGTTAAAGCCCACTTTATTCACGCCGAAATGACCTTTATGACCCTGTTGTTTTCGAAACAAATATCCAAAAAAACAGAGGACATTTGAAATGGTTGCGAAGTCGACACTGCATGGAGTTACATGCTATTATCACTGGAAAGTGACAACAATAGGGTTGAGCCAAAATACCGAATTATAACAGGAAAATAAATGCATAGAAAAACATTTTAAAAAACTAGTTTTTTTGGCCATTTTGTCCGTGAATGATGTTGTTTTCTCATTATAACTGTATTATTTGTGTTCGAAAATGCAGTTTGTTTATTTTTGAGAGAAAAGCGATGTCATCGGGGATTAGGTGAGTTTTTTTACACATACGGACTCAATCGTCGGTCTAACTACGTAGCCTTTTATTCGCTCAACCGGAAGAGGGAGCGGGAACCGTATCACTGATAGACTACCACCTCTCTCGGTCCCCCTAAGATCATGCCTGAAAATCCAATTTGTTTATTATTATTCATCTTAACTCATTAATTTCGTATTAAGCTCGAATTAAGTTATGGAAAAAGAAAAAAAAGTCTTTAACACTTAAAGACGGCAGTGCGCATATTAACTCATATACAGGAAATTTCTTATTAATCAAAGTATATAATGTGTCATTTGACCAAACTAATTAATCAAAGTTGCAAGGGCGGTGTATGTAAATGTGCGTAGTGAGTGATTAAAGCCATTAAGTGGTTAGTGGTTAGGTGAAAGAAAGTTTGGAATGAATTTGTTAATGTATCTAAGCTAATTTGTCCTCTCCATTAACAATAATAGTGTAATTTCAACATGTAACGTTTGTTGGTTTTTTTCTTTATGGTTGAATGCGGGTTTCAAATGCTACTTTTTGAGTCCCCATTTGACTTCAATTCATTTCTAGGGGCCTATTTTTAATCACAATATAATGCTTTTGCAAGTCATGCATGGATGTTGAATTAAATACAATCTCACACTAGCAAGATAATAAGATTCAGTATTATTTTATTTTTGAGCAATGACCGTGAGAAATGTGAACTTGAAATCTCTTTCGGAGTTAGTATTTGACAAATTAATTTATTAATTTCTTTATGATCATATTTTAATTTTCCGCTAGCTAGGTCAATTTTTTTGAATTATGAGGCTCAAATCAAATCAGCCAAAATTCCATGACAATTATTGTTTTTGTTTTCCAATCTTTCTACCTAAAACTAACTGGCCAATTAAAATCAACTTCAAAAGTGGCCTATATATCTTTTTAATGTGGGCTCATTACAACGGGCCCGAAAAGAAGTTTGCAATTGACCAACCAAATTTGCATATTAAGAATTATTTCGAAAAGTGAATGAAAAAAAATTGGGTCATCATCTCTACATGGAATGCATGCGAGTCACACTCGACACTTTGGCTACAGTTAGAAGGAGACTGATCTTTCTTTTTCAGGAAAGAATTCCATCATTCCAGTTAGGACTGGACACCTGTGATGTTAGGTTGTCTTAGGAATTTTAATCATCTGGGTACCCTCAAAAAAGAGCCAATAAGCGACGTCCGCGTATGTGTGAAGATCGAAGGAATGAGCAGTGCTGCCACACCTGATCACAGGCCAAACCATGTTATAACTTATAAGGTAACACGGTATAACTTAGGGTTTGCACCAAATTTCATTAAGAAAGGTAAAGGGTTGACGCCGGCCTATGTGGGTCCTGTTTCCTTTGTTCCAACATGAGGTGATGAAGAGAAACTGGCACGTGGCATGGAGTGGTTGGTCCATAAGCCAGCTGATGGAGAATATAGGAATTGGGTTAGGCAAAGGTCAGGAGGTCGATGAAGACCAGCCAGCCCAGTAATTGGATTGAGATAGGAAGATGAAGATCCTCCTCCTCCATGAATCTGCACTTTCATTTGAAGCAGAGGATTGACTATTTTCATGGCGCTGCCTAACTTTTGGGATGTGATTGTAGTGATGACATTACCATGCATGCAACAATTTCAATTGGTTATGTTGGGATTGTACGTGGCTCCTTTACATTCACAGACGCATCTTTTCAAGTTGACAAACTTGCCCATTTTCTTAATTGGATTGGATTTGTTTGACAATGAACTTGGATTTGATAAAGCAATCCATGTTGGTTAATAATACTACAAGCTTGTAAGTGTCCCCAAGTAGCAACGAATATTATCCGGAGAGGCATGCAGCTCAAGTGATATGACACTTTACCATAGAATATGTTCATAAATTTTATTCTTACCCCTCAGCGATGGTCAAATAGAAGCAAGGTAATTAATAAAATAATCAAGAGAGGATCATTATTAAGTAAAACAATTCCTTGTTTTAATATTTTATTCAGTACAATTTTGATGACCACAGATTTAGACCCACAAGAATCTGATATGGAGGAGTAGGCTATTTATAGACGTGTCTGTAGGCTAAAGTAGAAGCCAAACAAGAAGAATAATAAACATTCCACAACTATAATTATTTAGTTTTTGAAATTACAAATTAAATATGATAGGCATCATGTTGTGGTGGTAGCTCTGATTTAAATAAATAAATAAATAAAATATATTAAAATAAGGGGATGGGGAAGTGGTTGAGAAAAGGAGGGAAAGAGACATATAATTAAAGAAAAGAAAGGATCTAAACTGAAAGTCATGTAATTAACAGATGCCAATTGGAAAAGAAAAGGCAGTTAGCTTTTAACAGGACTGATTTAAGGAGTCATTTATCATTCTAACTCAACGTGTATGTATTAGATTGTGGTAGAGAAAGAAGAAGTGATAGGTTGTGTCATATATAATTGCAATGGATGTGGGGCAGCAGCACTATAATATATCTGCATATATATATATATATATATATATGTTCCTGGAAAATTGATGAGAAAGCTAGTTTCTCTCTCTCTCTCTCTCTCTCTCTAATTATATTCTTCAACACGTTATCAAATGAGCCGAAAATGATCACGATATAGTCTTCTTCATCGGCCCACTAAATTTAATTAGAGTCGAGTAGGCTAAATGATTCCCAGTGTGTCTAAATGTAGATTCGCTTCAAACAAATTTAATGCTTGAAGTGAAAGCGTTAGCAATAAGGCTCTAATTACGATTGATGAAGACATAAAGTGATGATCAATAATTCATCAAGTCAAGTCAATTTATATGAAGAAGATGATCACCTTCTATGAACTTGGATTGCCTTGCACAGATTGCCATAAAAGGTGGTTATGGTGGCTGCTACCGAGCCCATTTTGGCATGCAGCAAAGTACAGTCTCAATATAAGTTGTGCTTTTGGGTTTGAAGCACAAGGCCCCCATGTGTAAAACAGCCTAACACTGCCAAAACAAGGAAGGAGTAAATACAAAAGCACTTGTGTGCTTCTCCTACAAACACTTACAGAGCTTAATGCTTTTCTTTGGGCATGTGGGTGTAAGGAAATGTTACAATTGGAGCTAATAAATGTTACAAAAGCCAAAGTAGAAATGGCTTAATTGAGCACCCTTTTTCAGTGTGTGTGTGTGTGTGTGTGTTCTTAGTTTGTATCAGCCAGTGCTTGTTTTTTCAGAGAAAACTGTCATTTTGTTTTCCATTGCCATTCTAATGAAGGCTCAGATATCTCACCTGACACCGCAACTGCAAAACCCAATACAGATTATTTATGCATGAGCTTTTCAAGTGCAGTTCCATGTGAGAAAATCAATTCAAGGCAGGCAGGGAAGATAGTTGAGAAAAACCAAAACCCATTCATTGTTTTCAAGTATAAAGGCAAAACCCACTTCTTGTTTTCAAATATAAAGGCGACCGCATTACTGGTTGAGATTTACATTTGCAAAACTATACCTTCTTTTTCAGTCCAACATAAAATAATTCTCCCAAACAAGGAAAAGGTAAATCCACTTAGAAACATGCGTAACACGCACCCACCCACCAAAAACCGAGTCTTTCCTCTCTTTTTCTGGGGCTGAAACAAATTTCATACAAGCCCAGAAAGGACAAAGAGAGAATAGACATCAAAAGCTGAAGGCCCAATATACATGGAGAACATGTTTGCAACCTTTTTTGG